CGGCCCTGCTCCGAGGAGGAAGGGCTGGGTGGAGGAGGCCGAAGGCGTGTGGCGGTGCGGTGGTGTGGGCAGGAGTAAAGCGCGTACTGCCCAGGTAGCGCCCAGGGTGAAGTGCGCTGTTTGGCTCCGTCTTCAGGGGGAAGAAAACCCCGAAAAACGCTGTGGAATTGGCAAAGCTTGATCCCTGGATGGTGAGCTAAACGTAAGTCCAATGCAAATGGATGCAGGCTCTTCTAAAATCCCAGCTGTTTCCTCTCTGCCTCTTGGCATGACCACTGCTGCTCAGCCAGAAGCCTTCGCCGTAGTTCCTGCTATCTCCAGCACTTTTCCTGTTTTGCACCACCAATGTATCCAGTCTTCGTGTCAACTTGTTGTGTTTACTTACCTGTTTTCCTGAATTGCAGCTGCTGCTCGTGTGAAGTCCCTTGGCTTTAAGTTCACGGTTACCACGGTTATCAGTTTATCCTTACCTTGTTTATTCTGAAATTTTGTTAATCTTAGATTAATTTAATGTCACAATGTCATAAAAATTAGGTGATTTAGTATCGTTGGTAGACTCCAGATTTCACCTGTCATGATAAGGGATGAAAGATGGTGCTTCTCTGTCCATCACTGAGGCCTGAGACACGTCTTAGAGAATATTTGAAATGTGCTTTTGTGAGTTGTTTTATTGGTTTGAGGGGCTTTTAAGATTGCTTGTCCTTGGTTCTTCTCTAATATTCACAGGTCTTCCCTCACAGGTCTATTGGAAGGAAGAGACTGCTGTCCCAGTGTCAGGACAGGAATGCAGGATCTTTAAAAGCAGCGTTTCCAACACTAGTTTTCAATCTCCCTTTCGTATGCTTGCACTGGTAATATTTCAAGGCCGTGGAATCTGCCTAAACCTGTACCCGAGATGTAGCATAGGCAGGAAATTAATTTCCTTGGCCCAATGCTTAGTACACAGCTAATTTCCAGCTTATCTAGGAAAGAGGAACTTGTGATGTGTTTTGTATGATCAACCCCTGCTCTGAATTTCTTCAGTGGTTTTTGTTCCTCAAAAAAAATGAACTTAGTATTCTTTTTTTTGTGACGCTGCAGGAGATGCTGCGTTGTAGCTGTGCAGACTCCTGGTGTAATCTTTCTTCTGTCTTTCCTTATGTATTTTGCTTATCAGTAAAAATAGTTAATGGCATTAGTATTTATTGTTCTTCTCAAACAGACAGAGAGAATGAGGAAGCTGGGACTTCTGAACAATTGTTTCAAGCTTTCTGCAGGCAAGGACAGGGATCACTATACGCTTTCAGTTCGTTTCATGTTTTGGAGACTATCTTCAGCGATGAGAGCTAGAGTCTTAAAAGTGATTGGAGGTTAAAATGGGAGACTTGCCCTTTTTTGCCTTTAATGTCTGCATCATTGACCTGTTCTCAACTGGCTCAGCTCGAACCCAGTTGAAGGCATTTTGGCAGGCCGTCCTTATGTTTATTTTGTTATATACTCTAATTTTGAGGGCTTGATAAAACATATTTGTAGGAATGTTGATTTTGCTCTTCTTCTGCTTTTCACAAACACTTTCCCTGCTCCTGTGATACTGCTCTTTGTAATGCTGAGGGTGAAGTATAAAGGCAACGTGAACGAAAAACAAAGACCTGAAATGAAGATAGGGGCGATAGGTTGTCTGATGCCAAAAGGTGTTTCTTGGTGAAGATGCATTTCCTGTAAGGTAGTTCCTGTTATGTCACCTGGGAGTAGGAAAAGAGATCTCCTAGACATACTGCTCGTAACACCCACTACTGTGACTGCTGGGAGGAGTATACAGGGTATGTGAAGGGAGCAAGAGACTGTACAGATTGCATAAAGCAATCTGCAAATGCCACCTTGCTAATCTTGGCTGAAGAAACAGGCTTCTTTGTTATCCCCAAAGCTCTGAAAAAGCTTGGACTTGAATCAACTGCCAGCAACCGCTCCTTTCCCAGGCCCTTCTCTCTTGCTGCTAAAATGTCCAATCCTGATGTTGGAATTTGAGACTACTGGGTAACCTGCTGCTTCTTTTGCCTATCATTTAAAATTTACCATTTTCTCTGTTGGTCATGTGCTTGTTCAGCAGCTTGAAAAGGCTGATCTCGGTGTTCCTCTTGTTTGTCACTGTCATTTCAAAGGGTCCTCTGGAGTTCGGCATCTTTCACACACCAGTTTTCAGTTTCTCCAATTCATTATGAGTTTATGAGGAATTATCTGTACGTGCCTGCTGTGCCATAATGAGTAAGGATTTTCTCACCAAATCTAATGTAGAGCAAATTGATCTTGTGACTGAAGCAAAAAAGTATAGGCAAGGATGTTTCTAGATGCTCTGTCTTTGCAATTGAACCACAGACCTGAGGCTGATTTGCACAGTTAAACCACTTCAGAAACGTTTAGTTGAATCCGTTCCGTGCCGTTTTGGGAGTGAGTTTCATTTGGATTGTAAGCCAAATACAACAGTCTAGATGCGAACTCTCCAAAATGGTTTCTAGACCTGAAATAAGCATCAATGAGAGCATCTCAAACACAACTCAGTCGCTACCCGGACCGAAGCTGTATGGCAGACTGCGTGCAGAGGCGTTAGCGCGGACCTGGGCAAGTCACCTGTACGTGAGCCCGTGCTGCTTGCTGAAACGCAGAATGGTAACGTGATACACTGCAAAGCTTAGTTAAGGGTGTTTTTTTAGGAGGATGCCAAGATGTTGGTCCATCTCTGTGACTGCCCTTCTTCATGGTCTTCATTAGAATTCTATCTTTTCTATGGTTTTGTGCAGCAGAAAAGTGTTATATTTGAGACAGTGCAAGTCTCAGATGTAATCTCTTTAATTGCAAGGAAGATGAAAAGGAAGTTTTCTTTTGGAGTGGAAAAAGTTGTGGTTGAAACTCATGATTTTAATGGGTCTGTCTGGAAATGCTTTGAAAACCACACCTGTTGATGCCCCTTCCCCACCCTCAACAGTTATTTCACCTGTGAGAAAAAATGGAAATCTAGTGAAGGCTTCGCAATTCTACATATCCGTTTAAAGTAACTTTTGCTAGGACCTTGCATCCCCATCTGCTTGGAACTTCACAGAGGCCTTATTGTTCTAACAACTGGGATAAGCATCAAAGTGTGCATGGGTATTAGAAATGGCTGGTTTATTATCATATTTTTAAAGCTGTCGTTTTGTTAGAAGTATAGCTCTTACAAGAGGGGGAAGGGAATCCTTGTCTGTTCCTCTGAGAAGTTTTGTTCCATCAGATTTAGCTACTCAAACCAGAAAGAATGTGCACTTGTAAAACATACGCAGGCTTTGGTAGTGGGGCTCTACAGTGTAGAACTATCTTGAGACAGGCTTTAACTATTATTCTGGTAGAATAAAACTGCTGCTTAGTTCTGCTTTATTTAAAGCCTTTTAGGTTATCTCAATTTCTGTGTAAAATCAATGGCTATTGCGAAGAATTGGTGGCAGGCAGGGACTACTCCAATAGCAAGGGAGCTATAGCATTCATCTTACTGAGGTTCTTTTACAAGCCAGAGGCTGAAAGCTAGCATCGGGCTCCTTTTGGTTTTGAGATACTACCAAGTGGTGCTTGTGAGGACGGCTTTCAAAATTTATGTAAAGGAAACTTCAAAGGATGCTTTTTTTTTTTAACTTTTGAAGGAGGGAAGTCTAGATAGGCTGGGGTAGGTGAAAAAGATAGAAGGCTCTGCTTTTGTTCTAATTTCCCTGTTTTTTTGGGGGGGACTTAACTGACTGAAGTGCCAGAAGTCTGACTCTAACCTTTAAGTTCAGGCAATAAACTGTTGCTTCTTGGGCTCCCCAGATAGCTGTGCTATTTAAAGCTTTATGATTCTGAAGTTTCCCTATTTGTGTATTAATTTTTCATTCCATTGACTCTTCTGGAATTGTTTTGTTGGTTGGTCAAACAGAGAAATCAGAAAATGACTGAAGAATACCCAAACTGCAAAGAGGAGAAAATTCCCTTTTTATTAGTTATTTTTAACAGAAACAAATGCTTCAGCTCACCACTGCGGTTTTAGTCCATAATCATCAAAAGTACTTTTGATTCCTCAGTAAAATTAGTAGAATCAGACAGCAAAATATCATCAGGGATCTGATTCAAAGTGTCTAGTTACGCCTTAGTACTGAGGCAAATACCTAAAGGTATTTTTTAATACTTCGGTAATGAAATTGTTCGACTTCTGCAATGAAAATACTGAGCTATTTGTCTTCTGTCAGTTTTCATGTATGTTGATGGCGTATACCTACACAGCAAGAGCTCTCTTATCTCTTTCTTTTCTTTTGAGGTCATGAAACGCGTACGCACAGAACAGATTCAGATGGCAGTGTCCTGCTACCTCAAGCGCCGTCAGTATGTGGACTCTGAAGGTCCCCTAAAACAAGGGCTGAGGCTGTGTCAGACTGCTGAAGAGATGGCAGCTAATCTCACAGGTAATCCTATCATATTTTCCATGTGTGCTTCTTCGCAGAGTTGTGACAAGTGTGAGTATGTATATTGGCAACTACGTGATTTTGTCTGCATGTGTGGACAGCTTTCCTTTTGAAATAAATTTCCCAGTGTGAAGTTGGTGTGAGTTACAAACTTTTGAAAAATGAAAACGTGGATGAAAGCAGAACAAGGTGAGACTCATGGTCAGTGAAACAGCAGGCTGAAATACCAGGTCAGGGTAGTGGAAAATGTGTGTGTTGCATCTCAAAGAACACGAAGTCTGGTGAGTAGTGGTACTTTGGGATGGAGGTGAGAAGAACATAGATGGAGGATTAAGTAGAAGCAGGAAAATCTATTGTACCTTTGTACTCCAGGAGAGCTATATTGTGTGAAATGGAAGTGATACAAGCTATTTCTTTCTCTGGCCTAGTCAGCTTTCTGGTTGTGAAAGTTCCGCTCACTTAATAAAAAAACAAAACAAAAAACCTTCAGTGGATGAGACAGTTTATTTCCCTGCATTTCCCTTTCTCCTCTTTCTTAAAGGCTTCTGAATCCTGTTACGCTATCTGCTTTTCAAATCCTGTCTGCAACAGCCTTCATTGTAATTATTATTTTTGTTATAGTGCACTGCTTGAGCATGTACAAATATTGAAAAGATGCAAGCAATGTGAAGGTTATAAAGATTAAATTTACTTGTTAAAGTAGTAGAAAATACTGGGCTGACCTTTGGGTGAAAAGTGCAAGGAGGAAATGCTTTCTGTTAATGAAACAGCTTAGATTGTGACAGTATCCCAGGCTCAGAGCGGTAGAGACCTTAGTTACTTGTCATACAACTTGATTTGACAAAACATTAGTTGCTGTATGACTGTGCTTGTAGCTAGTTAAGATTGGATGCCAAAATAGCTCTTTCCACCTCTGGAGTATTTTGCCATAGTTACAATCCAAAGATGAGTGACTTGTGGGTAAATGTCCAGGCTGACTCCCTCAGGAGCCTGAAGGAAATTGGGTAATAATTCGTTATTAGAAGTGACTTTTATCTTTTTAGTACTTTTCTTTTCCTTGCTGTTTTCAGAGTAACTATCGGAAGTTTGTTGCAACTCCCTGAAATAATACTAGGGGGGATGGGGAAGGAATGAAACCGAAGTAAAATGCTGAATTGTTTTTGATGGGAGGTTTTACAGGAGAGGTGGGTAGAAAGGTCAGTGTTGAAATGGGATTAGAATTTGGGACCAATCTATACCAGGAGGACACGAGTATCTCTGAGTAGGAGAAACGAATGGGATTGCAAGCCCTTGCATTTGCGTGTGGCATCATGCAGGAAAAAAAAATTGTTTCAGTAAAGAGTGTGAATGAGTCTTTTTACTAATCATCCACCAAATGTTGTTACTAAATTTCTTGTTATTAGTCGATATCCTCTTGCCAGCGCAAGGGTTTTGTGGCTGGTGATTCAGAACTTAGTCATCAGTTTTGATTAGGGCTGAAAATGGTCTGCTCTCATGTATTCAGCGACTTGCTACTTCTTGTCAAATATGCTCATAGTAAGCTGTCAGTGAGTATGCTGCAATTCTGTGAAATGACTGTCAAAAGAAAAACCCAGCATGTACTTAACTGTGACAACAGAGGCTGAAGATACGTTCCACTGCAGTCATCTTAGTTTGGCAAACTGAGTAAAAACTGACCAGATTCTAAAGCCTGCATTGCTTTATTTCGGGGAAAGCGATCAGATATTTTTGCCTGAAGAGGTCTTTGCTTTTTCCTTAACAAAACTCACTTTGCTTTTTCTCTTCATCTATTGTCTTTTGTTTGACTTTTAAATTAACCAGCCTGTATAAACGGGAGAGTTGCAAATGGGAGAGTTGCGTACTTCTGTCTTCGATTCTGACTGCTTCTTTCACAGTGAAGAGTGTCCTCTAGTTTTGGTTTTAAACAGTTTTGTTTCTCAGACTTACCTCAGCATTTCGTTTTGTCTTCTTCCAGAGTTTCTTCCGCTCAGCCCTTCTCCAGTGCTTCATATACTTTCTGTACAGCTCTGTTTTCACAGAATCATGGAACAGCCCAAGTTGGAAGGGACCTCAAAAGATGATCTGGTTCAGCCTTCCGTGGGAAAGGGAGCACAGATGAGACTATCTAGCACGCTGTCTGATTGCATTTGCAGTAAAATACAGCACAGAGCTTCCTCGTGACTATCTCTTTCTGTAGAAAACTAGAATCATATTGGAGGACAGAATGAGTGACTTAAGGAACAGATTCCTCTAATATTGCCCATAGTATGCTATCAACCCATAGGACTATCTGAAATAATGTAAAATTATACATCATCACACTCATATGAAAGAGGAATCAGTTGTTGTGAAAGAGCTGGAAGCAATGCTACTCCTAGCCAACACACAAGACCAGGAGGCTACTGTCCATATCCCCGAGTTAGGAGCGAGTTCCTTTGAATTTGCTGTCAGGTCACATAGCTGGCCGCGATTACTGGGAGAAGTCAAGGAGCCGATGTTTCCAATAGATGTTCTTACCACCACTGGGGAAAGTGCGAAAGAAAAAACTATGGTAGATTTGTTGATGTGTTAGAAGGATATGGCTAGTGTTCTGTTTCCACCAGGAGAAAAATGTGCCCAAAAATTTACTCTTATTTTGGAATCACTTGAGCTCCTGTTCTCTTCTGCATGTATGGTTGGTGTAAAGTTTTGGGAAGGAAGAGAATTAGAGTTTGAATGTGTTGTAACTGTCTGATATGTAGAGTTCGTTTACCATTTGATGGGAACGAGCTCTAGCATCATTACTGAAACAGTAGGGTATAATGATTGCCTGGTCAGACTGCTCCAGGATAGGTAGCCAAAGATGGTGTTCCTTTTTCTGAAGCATGAAGTATATCTTAATGTTGGAATTAAGTTGCTTATACAGAGAGAGAGTTAAATAGGTGGCACAGAGGAAGCACTTCATAAAGCCAAGGACGGTAAGTTGTGCTTGCATGACACGAGCAAGGTGGCAAGTCATTCCCATTCCTGCCGAAACGAGGCCACCAGAACTCAGAGTTGACCCTTGTGTGTAACCCTGTGACACAGCGTAAAAGACAGGCCCTCATACTTGTTTTTCTTTGCTTTACAATGGGTGGTATGTGTGATACTGAAAACTGTCACTGAGCATTTTTGAATTACTATGTGTCCATGCATGCAGTTTAATTTCTCACACTGAATTCAGATTATATTAGATTTTAAGTCCAAATAGCAGAGTTTTTTTACTTTAGCCTTTAAGTGATACCAGTATGTGAGCCTGGAGTTCTTACCGGCTTTGAGTTTCTGAAGCAGGGAGAAACTGTAAAAAGCACAGTGTATCTGTACCGTTCAACAGGTTATATTTATTTCAAAACTGATTTGTATATTTATTTCAAAACTGATTTGTATATTTATTTCAAAACTGATTTGAGTGAAGATAGGGTATTGGTGCTGGAATCTGTATTTATTTTTTTTCCAAGAGGAGATGATAAGCACAGCCCAGCTCTCTGTTTCTGAAGCTGAATTCAACTTGCCCTGGAGAGTCAGTAAACATACCTCCTGTGTTTCCATAAGCTCCAGCGAGATAGACCTGTGTCTTACCAGAGAGAGAGGGGAGAAAAGTGACAGGCTGCCTGTACACCATGTGCTGATCTCTTTCTAATGAGAAGCATTGAGTCGAGCTGGAGGCTGGCCTATCTCTCTTTAGCATGTGAAAATTTGATGATGTTGTTCATAGCCTTCCAGGGCTGTCAGAGTTGTGCTTCTGTGCGTGAACCAAATGCTGGAACAAAAAGCGATCAATCAGGACCACGAAGGCAATGAGAGAGGATGGAAAGCAGTGGGGGACAGGGAAGACTGAAAGAAGTTGAAGGTATTGAAAGAGAGAGTAATAAAAGTAGGCTTTGTGGAAGGGAAAATAGTTATGAATTGAAGAAAAGATTAGGAGAGGAAAACGGAGTGAAACTCCTTGCCCTCTTGTGCTTTTCTTAGAAGAGCAGATGAATTAATATATTAGTTAAAGTTTAGAAACGTAAATTTTGTAACTTGTGTTTGTAATTACTGGTATTTGTACGTGCTTAAGGTATCTGGGTGGGTGTCTGTAAACTTGCACAAAGTCCACTGTCGAGTTTTGAAGGGTTAGCAGAAGAGCAAAGGTTTGGTGCCAGAGAAAGGAAAGTCACCCTTTCTAAATAGTTCAGAACCACTTTTTACCAGAGTTGATACTGGTTTTGGAAATCAGTTTAACACTGTCTCAGGAGACTATAACAACTGGTTTTGTGGTCAGATACCACTTGCCCTTTAACCTAAAATCCTCAGCAAACAGGACACATTTTGATTAAAAACAAGTGTTTGCTTAGAGATTCAACGTGTTTTCACCACAACCTCAGGGAGACTAGTAAAGGATAACGATCATAATTTGTAGTAAATTATAGTAACTGAGGCAAGGAATTTGAGACCCTGAGGTAGTGTCACTGCAGACCTTCTGTCCACAATGGGTGGTGGGTCCTGCTGA